GGTGTCTATGAAAAGAATTAAGACTGGAGGGGAGGTGGAGATGACTTCCCCAAGATTTCCCTTCTCAATCTAGCCCCATCAGATGGGGCTAAATTCTGCCTGTCCACCCTGGGAGGGCGTGGTATGCTCATACTCCATGTGGGGACCTCTGGCATGGGCCATTGCTTGGTGGTTTTGTATTGCTAACTGGGCTGTGTGTGCTGGTGTTTTCCAGGCCGTGAGGAACAAGGACACACTGAGGTTATTCATTTGTTCATGGAGTTATCATAAGAATACACAGAAGAAAAAAGGTGCCAAGCCAAGCAAATTAGACATCCTAAGAGAGAAGGGCACCAACTGCATCTCCCCACCTGTCCTCCCCTTCCTTCTTTTCTTCCTCCTCCCCATGCAGGGCCCCCACAGGACAGTCTGTCTGAGCATGGTATCTGAACCCAGGGGCTTGGGGATACCTCTGGCTTTCTCAGCTCTATCTTTCACTGCACTTGGAGTTTCTGGCTTTCCCCAGGTACACTCTTTGAGGACAGGAAGCTGCTTGAATATTATTATGCCTCAGCCTCCTCCTGCTAGCAATGACCTCTAGTGCTTGGGCTGATGGTGGGGATGAAGAAGACGCATGGATGAAGTGTTTTAACATTTCAGGGGTCCCCAGGCCTGGTCTGCACTTGGAACATTAGTGTCAATCACTTAACCCTAGCAGCAGCAAAGAGAGAAATGAATACAACAAGCTTGCCAGTGAGTAGTGCTCCTGATAATGAGATCTTTGAGGGAATCTCAGAAACAGCTGGTCCTCTGTACCCCTGGCCCTGCAAACTGAAAGGCTCTGGCTCACAGCCCACCTAGCTGGGTCCAGGCAGCTGGAGATTCTAACTCACTGACCAGACAAGAGTAAATTTAGCTGGGAGGGCTCCAGAGGCCCTGTACCTGCACCTTAGGCTGTCCTGTCTCTTACAGTGTGCAAGCATTAGTCAAGTGTGAATCCCCACCTTCATGCTTCCTGGGTGTTAGCTTTTCTCGCTTGTGCCCTGCTGGGCCCCCACGCTGGTGGGAACACTGCTCACTGGAGTTCTCTTTAGAAGGAAACAACAAGGTGTGGCATCACATAGGCTTGTGTGGGGGGGTGTTGTGGTGGGGGAGAGGTCGCCCACTCCTCAGACCACAAGCCACAGGGAGAGTGAAGAACCACTGGCTGATGACAGCTGGCTCCAGCTGCTGAGCAAGGTGTCTAGACTTGCTGGGGGCAGGGTGGTTAGGCCATGTTCTCATTGGGCATCATCTTTGAAGCTCTCGCATACATTTTCATGTCACAAATTTCCTACAGAGATTAAGTTTTACTTTCCTCTCATAGTGGAAGAAGTATTAAAACAGAAAGGCTCCCCAGAAAATGCCTTCATAAAGTGCTTTTTTTGTCTTGGCATCATTTACGAGGAAATGTACCTCTCCTATCAGGGTGTAGTGGGGTAGTGGCCTGGAGCACTCTCTCCTTAGAAACTGTGACTGTGGTTTCTCTGGGGCCCTCCCCAGGAGTGGACCACAAGGCCGGAAGTCAGTCTCCCTCTACAATTGTTCTCCCTTCTCTGTGTGTCCCAGTGACCTCATTGTGGGCTGTGACTCTGCTGAGCAAGCCTGAGATGTCTTCCCTTGGTCTTTGGCTGATAGAGACTACCCTCTAGTGCAGGCTGACCTCTCATCTCATGTGCACTTGTTGGCAGATAATTTGGGATATGTCTCTCAAAACCAAAGTGATAGAAATCACCTGCAATCTCTCAAAAGTAATCACAATCTGAATTTCCTTCTGTTTTACCTTTACCAGAGTTCAGGCCCCATGACTGGACCCCTGCCCCCCTCCAAAAAAAAAGTCTCACAGAATTTCCTGCCCAGGTTGGCTTTGCACTGTGATCTTCAGATCTCAACCTCCTGAGCAGCTGGGATTACAGGTTTGAACCACTGGTGCCTGGCTTGTTTCCTACAAATTTTGATACACTATATTTGTAAGCACCGACCCCCAGAAAAACCTCTTGGACACACAGTCACATAGAAGAAAGAAGCATTTAATGTCAGCTAGAGGCTGACAGGCCATCTCTTGTGGGATAGAGAGTAGCAAACTTCTCTCAGAACTATAAAGGTAAATATAGTATCGGAGTCTGAAGGCATGAGAAGTGGCTGGGGCAGGAAATCTTCAGCTGGACAGGCGATATCAGACAGCCATGGCAGGACATTCTATAGCTGGCTTGCAGCCAGGGAAAACTTGCTATCACAGAGATAATATTCTATATCAGACAAAGTCAATATATCTTACAGCTGTCATGTAGCCAGGGAAAGCACGCTACAGCAGAGACAATACATTCTATAGCTGGTATCTTGTGATTATACACTAGTACCTGCGTGTGACCGGGACTGGGCATCTGGACTGCTTTGCTGATGCAGCTGGGGCCGGTGGGAATAGACAACTGTGATTGGGCCTGGCTTATGGATGACCCAGGGTGAAGGCTGTCAACCCAAAATAGGTGTGAATAAGCTTACAATATTTCATTAGCACATAGCTCAGTGGGTCGCAGTGCTGGTCTTGCAGGAAGGGCTATGCGCCCATGGAATGGCCTAGCACACCTCTAGTAACATTGCTTCATCATTCCCAACTCTTCAGACCCCTCTGGGGCTAAGATTGTTTATGCAGTGTTGTTGCTTGATCACTCGGTCAGGTCATGAAAGGAAAGTTACTATGTAGTTTCTAGCTGAGAACATCTGTGGAGATTTAGCAAGTTGATAGGCAAAGCTGAGAAAATGGATTAGGAAAGAGCAAAAATTGTCAGAACAACTTGCTGGAAGAAAATGGGAGAAACACTGGACTTAAATATTAATCGGCATGACTCATGAAATAATGATACAGTGTTCAGGTGTCTATGGACTTTCCTTTTTAAATTCTTTTAAGGTATAAAGTTTGATCTCAAGGCAAGTAAGCAGATGCTTTACTACTTGAGCCATACTCTGAGCCTATAGATTGTTTTTGGAGCTAAACAGAAACATTTTCCCCCACACTTTTTATTAGCATCAATTTGTTGTATATGTCTGTGTACCTTGATTGGACTCATTCCCTTCATCTTTATCTTCCTTTCCCTTCCCAAATCAATCTCAGCAAGCTAAACTGTTCCATTTTCACACATGCACATAAAGCATTTTGGCCATATTCACCCCCTTTGGTTACCTCCCTCTCCCATGAGTACCTGGACAGGATCTGTCTTACATTTCTGTTTTTTTTTTCTTTTTCAAAAGTGTATGTTAAGGGCTAGGAAGGTGGCTCAGTGGTAGAGTGCTTGCCTTGCACGCAAGAGGCCCTGGGTTTGATTAATCAGCATCACATAAGCAGAAAAAGCCAGAAGTGGCACTGTAGCTCAAGTGGTAGAGTGCTAGCCTTGAGCTGAAGAGCTGAGGGATAGCGCCCAGGCCCAGGGTTCAGGCCCCACAACTAGCAAAAAAAAAAAAAAGTGTATGTTAATTGTTCAAAGGTGTTTCACTGGGTTATTTCATACGTGTCGACAAATACTTGAATCAGATTGACTCCCCTCGTCAGATAGATAGATAGATAGTATGTGCAAAAGCTTATCTATGTGTTTATCTTTTAGGAATAGTATCCACATAGCTAAAACTTTCCTTGTAGTACTGCCTTTGCTGTCTCATAAAGGTTCGGGTAGGTTGTGTTCTCTTTGTCATTAGATTCTAGGAACTTGGATTTCTACCCTTATTTCTTCAATGACCCACTTGTCAGTAAACAATGTATTGTTCAGTCCATACATGTATAAATATTTTCTGTAGTTTATTTTGATGTTGTGGTCTAATTTTACTCCATTAGGGCCTGAAAGAACATTGAGAGTGATTTAAGTTTTCTTATATTTGCTAAGACTTCCTTTATGCCCTAAAATATGATATTTTGAAGAAAGTTTCATGGGCTGTTGAGAATGCTTGCTTTTTCCTTCCTAGACAAAGGATCAGAGATATATTTGGGGTCTTTCTCTTTCCAGATGACACATTCTATACACTTGGATGCTAGAAGTTAGCTAAATGATCTTAGCTTGTACTTCTTGTTACAAGAAAACAAATTAGTGCAATTTTGGGATCCTTCAGAGGAACCAAAGTTACTTTCTAATAAAATAGTTGAGCTCCCTGCTCTGCCCAGATAAGAAGTTCAAGCTTCCTATTCATGGAGTCCTGGTGTTGCCACACTGTACTCCTCTGTGCTCACTCCAGGGTGTCCATGGCTTTTCCTTTTCCTGAGGTGCCTGTGCAGAGCACATTTTGCTGAAGGTGTGAGGAATGCAGGAATGGAGTGGACCATGGCTCAACTCAGGAGGGGCAGTCATGACTGAGGCATTGCTCTCTTCTGGTTCTTCCGCTCTGGCTACTCCAGATGCCCTCCTGCTGGGTGTCTCTCTCTTCTACCCCACTAATTGAGAGCAGTTCCTCTGCTCTCAATTCTGGGTGACAGAAACCGGTAATCCAATCCAGCCTCAATATGATGTAAGGAATACTCCCTCTCCATTTCCATGTCATTTTAAGTTTGAGGCTCACTTTAGTGTTGTACTTGTGTGGGTACCAGTTTTGGGGCTTGAACTCAGGGCCTGGGTGCTGTCTCTGAGCTTTTGTGCTCAAAGCTGGCATCCTATCACTTGAACCACAGTTCTACTTCTGGCTCTTTGGTGATTAATTGGAGCTAAGAGCCTCATGGGCTTTCCTGCCAGGGCTGGCTTTGAACCACAGTCCTCAGATCTCAACCCCTTGAGTAGTTTGGGTTACAGGCGTGAGCCACTGGTGTTTGGCCCACACTTTTGCCTTTTTAAGAATAATAATAGGCCAGGTGCTGGTGGCTCACACCCATAATCTAGCTACTCAGGAGTCTAGGATCTGGAGGATCATGGTTTGAAGCCAGTCTGGGCAGAAAATTCTATGGTGATGGAGAGGGGTCCCCTTCCCTAACTCTGTTTAGTTGATGATATCATTTCTCTCTTCAGGGAGAAGCAGAGGTCTGGAGGACTCTAAATCCTTTTGCCTAGAGGATACAAGTGGCTAAAGATGAATTTGGAAAAAGTAGTTCCTCGATGCTTTAGCCATGGAAAAGCAGGATGTTATGACATCACATTCTGACTCCTACATTAAACTACTGAAGACCAATCGAGAGCTGCTGGTCGCCCACATCCACAACACACAGTGTCTGCTGGACAACCTGCTGGAGAATGGCTATCTCTTGGCTGAAGACGTGGAGATTGTGTGTGCCTGCACCACTCAGCCTGGCAAGGTGCAGGAACAGGTGTGGGACTGGTACAGACAGACCTCAGGGGCCAGAAGCAGCCTTTCCTGACTGGATGTGGGAGTTTAGTACAGGGCAGAGTTCCATAGTAGTAGGATTGTGATAGAAGGAAAAAGCCCTGGTTACTGGCTTTCTGCACAGCCAAGCACTTCTGTATGTGGTAGAACAGGTCGTCACCACTGCATGGTGTATAGATCCCAGACCACCTTTTTTTTTTTGGGTCCGGTCGTGGGGTCTGAACTCTGGGCCTGGGCGCTGTCCCTCAGCTCTTCAGCTCAAGGCGAGCGCTCTACCATTTGAGCCACAGCGCCACTTCCGGCTTTTTGCTTATGTGGTGCTGAGGAATCGAACCCAGGGCCTCAGGCATGCAAGGCAAGTGCTCTACCACTGAGCCAACTTCCCAGCCCCCCAGGCCACCACTTTTAAGTTCATTTTAAATGAACAAGGGAGGACACAAATGGGCACAGCACATAGTAGCCACTCACTCAGTGCTTCACACCCAGGGCCATGTGGGGTGAGGCTCAGGATGGCCTCCTGTCTAGTTTAGGAACAACAGCTCCTCTGGGTGGAACCACAACAAAGAATTTCCCACATTCCACACAAGCTCAGTGGAACTTTCTAGAAAAGGAAGTGGAGATCTGTAAGTCTTTCTTCATGAGACAGACAGGAACTGTTGGTCATGGATGCTGCTGTTGAGGAAGCCCAGTGACAACACTGGAGTGCTTTGTTTTTTCTTCAGTTTTTCTCCTAGACTTCAAAAACATTACTACTATTACCTTTAAGTAGTTGTACAAAGGAGTTTCGTTCAACATGTAGTTTATACCCACCTCACTCAGTGTCACCCCTTCATCACCCCCATTCTATCTCAGCCAACCCTTCATGTTACCTGCTTCCCCTTCACAGTGTTTATGGACTGTGACCAGCATTCCTCTCTCCACTTACCTGTCAAGTCCCAACCTCCTCAGACAAAAGATGCTTTTACTTAGGGTATTCATTTTTTTAATTATTATAAAGGTGATGTACAGATGTTACAGTTACGTAAGTCAGGTAATGAGTACATTTCTTTTTGGACAATGTCACTCCTTCCATTGTTCTCTCTCAGTTTTCCCTTCTGTCTCCAGCCACAAGTTGTATAGTTCATTTTAAACTGTCAGGTAATTGTTGAAAGGATGTATCTTCTGTAGTGTTTGGTTGTGTATATATGCACATGGCCCTGTTATGTGCTTTCATATATGTTTATATCTTAGATCTAACTTCCACATGTGAGAGAAAACATGTATCCTTTGTGTCTCTGAGCCTGACTTATTTACTATAACCTTTTGTCCAGGTCTATCCATTTCCCTGGAAATGACGTAATAGTATTCTTCCTGATGAAAGAACATATATGAGGGTCAGCTGCCCTCTCACTCTGTGGCACCTGCCCGCCAGAGGCACATGTGGTCCTGGATGATGCATCCAGGTTGAGAGAGAAAAACAGACAGAACTCCATGGTTGAATATGGCTCCAGTACTGAGTCTCATTTACCTTTTTAAGTTTACAGAAGCACACTAGAGCCATAGCTCTAGCATCATAGAGCCATATGGTTTTATCTCTCACTGAAGACGTTCATTTCATACATTCTAGGATTTCAAGATAAGAACTCATAGCTGGGTAGATGGTTAGGCTCATGGCTGTAGAAAGAAGCACCCTGGGTAAGTCTTTCTGGTGAGTAGTTGCCCCTCTTACTATTGTTCTTATGTTCCTGTCACCACCAGGTTCGAAACCTTCTGGACCTGGTACAGAGCAAGGGCGAGGAGGTGTCTGAGTTCTTCCTCTACGTGCTCCAGCAACTCACAGATGCATTTGTGGACCTCCAGCCATGGCTGCTGGAGATCGGCTTCTCCCCTTCCCAACTAATTCAGAGCAAAACTATTGTCAACACTGACCCAGGTATGAATCAGCTCAAGTGGAATGAGCAGGGATACAAGCCAGGCCCCAGGATTCAGATCTGCCCTCCTACTGAGGTCCAAGCGGGTATAAAAGAGTGGCTACCACAGCCTGCTCCATCCCAGGAATCAAGCCTAAGTATTGCTGCAATTTTAGAAAGGAAGTTGTGGTTCCCATCACCTGTCCAACTCAGATGACTGCAACCAAAATGACCACATGCGGCTTCCTATTTTTTGAGTAATTTTATTATTATAAAGGTGATGTATAGAGGGGTTACTATTTTATAAGTCAGTAATGAGTACATTTCTCTTGGGACAATGTCACCCTTTCTTCATTCTTTCCAAGTTTTTCCCTCCTGTCCCCAACGACAAGTTGTATAGTTCATTTTCAGCCTAGTGTCCAGTGAGTACCACTGCTGCATTTGTTCACCCTTTATCCCTTCATTTCTGTGTCCCTCTTCCCCTCCCAAAGACAGATAAGTGAACAAATAAGACAAAAAGAAAACAAAACAACAGCAAAGAAAAAAATTTTGTTTTCACTAAGTGCTGGTGGTTCATGCCTGTAATCCTAGCTACTCAGGAGACTGAGATCTGAGAATCATGGTTCAAAGCCTGGCGGGGCAGGAAAGTCCATGAGACCCTTATCCAATTAACCACTAGAAAACCGGAAGTGGCGCTGTAGTTTAAGTGGTAAAGCACTAACCTTGAGCTGAAGGGCTCAGGGACAACACCCAGACCCATAGTTCAAGCCCGATGACTGACGAAGAAAAGAAAATCTTGTTTCTTTGAGCGTGGGAATGGAGTCTTTTGGGTCCTGTAGATACAAAAGCATGTCATCTGCAAATAGGGATAACTGACTTCTTTTCCTATGTGAACTCTTTGTATGTCTTTTTCTTGCCTTATTGCTCTGGCTAGAATTTCTAGAACTATATTGAAGAGGAGTGAAGAGAGTGGAGATCCTTGTCTTGTTCCTGATTTTAGAAGAATGGTTTAGAGGAATGGTTTCCCATTTTGTTTGTTCATTAGCTTTGGCTCTGGAGTTCTAACCAGAATTTCCGCATGCTAGACATGTACTCTACCATCAGCTACGGCTTAGCCCTCTCATCTGATTTCAACAGGGCCTAGAGAAATGTGGGAAGAGCCTCCATTCTGACTTTTTGCTCACTTCCTACACTATACTGACATATGTAGATAAGCTAATGCTGTACAGATTTGAGGCCATATGTGTGTGTGTGTGTGTATTTGTGGTGGTACTGGGATTTGAACTTATGGTCTTATAGGTGTTCTACCATTTATTCCTCACCTCCGGCCCTTCTTGCTTTATTTTTGATAGGGTTCTGCATTTTTTTGGGGGGGGTCAGGTCATGGGGCTTGAACTCTGGGCCTGGGCAGCTCTTCAGCTCAAGGCTAGCACTCTACACTTGGGCCACAGTGCCACTTCCGGCTTTTTTCCTTTTTGCTTATGTGGTGCTGAGGAATCGAACCCAGGGCCTCAGGCATGCAAGGCAAGCGCTCTACCACTGAGCCACCTTCCCAGCCCATGGGTTCTACACTTTTTGTTCCAGCTCCCCTGACAGCTATATCCCTGTCTACATTCCCACATACCTGGGATTATAGACATGTACTCCCTTCCCCTTTCCCCCAGGACAATGTATTTTTTTTCTTTTTCCTTTTGAGATCTTTCCAGGAGGTAGGGATGTAACTCATTGACAGAACACTTACTTTGCACATAGGAAGCTTGGATTAAATTATTAGTATCATAAATAAATTAATAATAAGTATCTTTTCAGGAGATAACCTTTCAAGGTTTGATTCTAGGTCTGGTATTCTCGGTTACCCTGGTCTAGTCCTTATCTGCAGAGCACCAATGAAAGTGCTAGTTAACCATTCTTTATTGGTCTCTTTGATGCACTCATCACTAAGGTGCTGTGCTGAAGGCTAGGGATAGAGGGTGAGCACAGAGGATGGATCCCTGTCCCTCAGGGTTCTCAGTGTAGAAAGGGACTCCCACAAATGTGACCTTGCATGAAGTGATCAGCACAGCAGCTGCCCAGGACGGGTGATGAGTGGGTTTACTCTGGGGGAAGGAGTCTGTCTTTCCTTTGGCAACAGCACCAAGGCCCCATTCTCTGAATTTTAAAGAACCCTGGTTTGACTTAAAGACAGAAGTGAAGGATGTACCCAGCAAGCAAAGCATCTGTTTAGGGAGAGCCAGGCCCAGCAGCAGTGTCAGGACTGAGCTTGTACCTGTGGTCCAGCATCAGCTAGTATCTTGCTCTTACAGGCACTTTCTTTACCCCCAGGAAAGCGAGAGAGTAACTCTTCAGTCTTGGGGGTTGAACTCAGGGCTTGGGCACTGTCCCTGAGTTTTTGTTGTCAAGGCTAGTGCTCTACCACTTTGAACTATAGTACCACTTCTGGTTACCGGTGGTTAACTGGAGATAAGAGTTCCATGGACTTTCCTGCCCAGGCTAGCTTTGAACTGTAATTCTCAGATCTCAGCCTTCTGAGTAACTAGAATGATAAGGTGTGAGCCACCAGTGCCCAGATATTTGCTAGCTTTTAAAGTATAATTTAGTCTACAAGAAGCTACATGCAAAACATTATTTTGAATTGATACCATGTATATAAAATACCCAGAAAAGACAAATTTATAGAGAAGGAAAGCAGAACAGTAGTTGTCTAATCTCCACTGAAGGCAGAGAGTCTCCAGAAATGTTTGAGAGGATGGTGTTTTAAATATATAAATAACACTTGTAATGAGTAAACACTATGGTATAATTTTCTTCGATAAAGCTGTAAGTGGAATACAGCTTACTTGGCAATGACAAACTTCCTGGGAGAGAGGCCTTCTAAACACTGGTCACCCATTGGCAGAGGAGGAACCTCCAGTTCCCAGTCGCAGACCCTGGAGCACTGGGTTCTTTTTTTTTTTTTTCTTGGGTCCGGTCGTGGGGCCTGAACTCTGGGCCTGGGCGCTGTCCCTCAGCTCTTCAGCTCAAGGCTAGTGCTCTACCACTTGAGCCATAGCACCACTTCCCGCTTTTTCCTTTTTGCTTATGTGGTGCTGAGGAATGGAACCCAGGGCCTCAGGCATGCAAGGCAAGCGCTCTACCACTGAGCCAACTTCCCAGCCCAGCACGGGGTTCTTTTGAGGCTTGAAGAGGCTGCACTTGGCCGCAGGGTCAAGGGAGTGGGTTTGGTTGGTTTGTGCTTTGGCTTCTATTTCTTAGGACCTTCTGGTGTGATGTGCTTTCTCTTGTCTCTCTCCTTCTCTGCCCCCTCCTCCCTCTGGTCGCTGCTCTCCCCCGTCCCCCTTTCTCCACGTCTCTATCCTACCCCTTGCCCCTTCTTCGTCCTTTCCCATGCACCCGTCCCCGCCCCCCTCTCCCCACTTCGGTCTTCCTCCCCTGTTCCCCCCCCCTTCCTCCTTGGGTCTCCCTCCCACTCCCCCCCCTTTCTGGTCTTCCCTCCCATACCTATCCTATCCGGCCACCTCCCACCCACCCCCCACCCCTCCCCAGTGAGCAGGTACACCCAGCAGCTGCGGCATCTGGGGGGCTGCGACTCCGGGTTCCTGCCGAGTTACGCACAGGGCAGCGAGCGCGAGCTGCCGCTGGAGGAGGTCTACGAGGACCCGGTCCTGGAGCTGCTGGGCCCCGACGACGAGAGTCTGGGCCCTCTGAGTGGCCCACCCTGGCTGCTGGACCCCGATCCTGGCGTCCTCGGCGGGCAGGGGGAGGCTGTGCTGGTGCTGGGCGACGCGGGCGCGGGGAAGTCGGCGCTGCTGCAGCGGCTGCAGGGGCTGTGGGCAGCGGGGCGCCTGGGCGCCGAGCTCCGCTTCTTTTTCCTCTTCCGCTGCCGCGCGCTCGGCGGGCTGGGCGCGGGCGCTGCGCTGCGCCTGCAGGACCTGCTCTTCCGCCACTGCTGCTTCCCAGAGCGTGGCGCCGATGAGGTCTTCGCCTTCCTGCTGCGCTTCCCGCGCTTGGCGCTGCTGGCCTTCGACGGCCTGGACGAGCTGCCCTCCGACTTCGATCCGAGCCGCGCGCCCGACAGCTGCAGCCCCTGGGAGCCCGCGCCGCCGATGGCGCTGCTGGCGGCGCTATTGAGTGGCCGGCTGCTGTCGGGCACGCGCAAGCTGCTGACGGCGCGCACGGGCACGGCGCTCCCGCGCAACCTCCTGCGCGCCAAAGTGCGGCTGCGCGGCTTCGGCCCGCTTCAGCTGCGCAACTACGCGCGCCGCGTGGTGCCGGACCGCGCCGCGCGCGAGCGCCTGCTACAGCAGCTGGACGCCCACCCCGGCCTGGGCGGCCTCTGCGCCGTGCCGCTGTTCTGCGGCCTCGTCTTCCGCTGCTGCGCAAGCCTGTGCGACACCCGGGAGGACTCCGGCGTGCTGACTCTGACCGACGTCTACCTGCGGGTCGCCGAGGTCCACCTGCGTCGGGCGCAACCTCGCAGCCTGGTGCAGCACCCGGCGCGCTGCTCGGCCGAGACCCTGCGCGCGGGGCGGCACGCGCTGCGGGCGCTGGGGCGCGTGGCGCTTCGCGGCACCGAGCGCGGCCGCTTCGTCTTTGGCCCCGACGAGGTGCGGGTGTCGGAGCTGCGGGAGGGCAGCGCGCAGCTCCTGCCACTGGGCTTCCTTCGGGTCCTGCCCGCGCCCGGGCCCGAGCCGGGCCGCCGCGTCTTCGAGTTCCTGCACCTAACACTCCAGGCCTTCTTCGCTGCCTTCTTCCTGGTGGTGGACGATGGGGTGGGAACCCGGGAGCTGCTGCGGTTCTTGGGAACCGGGGCGGGGGCGGCGGATGGAGATACGGACGGAGATGGGGACTCGGACGCCTCTACAGGCGCCTGCCACCCCTGCCTTCCGGCCCCGTGCCTGCGCGACTGCATCTCTGCCGGCCTCGTGCCCTCCTCCGGCAAGGACCACCTCCAGTTCACCAATCTCTTCCTGTGCGGGCTTCTGGCCAAGGCCAGGCAGAGGCTCCTGCGGACCCTGGTGCCCGCGGCTGCCTTACGGAGGAAGCGCAGGGCCCTGTGCACCCACCTACTCAACCGCCTGCGCACCCACCTGCAAGGCCTGCCACGGCTCCAGTCTGGCGGCTTCCGGCAGGTGCAGGCCATGCCCGCGTTCCTCTGGATGCTGCGATGCCTCTATGAGACGCAGAGCCGCAAGGTCGGGTGGCGCGCGGCGCGCGGCATCCGCGCTGACTACCTCAAGCTGGCTTTCTGCAACGCCTGTCCGGCTGACTGCAGCTCCCTGGCCTTCGTCCTGCGCCACCTGCCCACTCGCCTGGCCCTAGACCTGGACAACAACAACCTCAACGACTTTGGCGTGCGTGAGCTGCAGCCCTGCTTCAGCCACCTCACGGTCCTCAGGTGGGGACCTGTCCACGGGATGGGGGGTGCAAGCCAGGATTCCGGGCCCCTCACCCACCCTAGGACTGATGACTTCTGGTCTGAAAATGCCTTAGTCTGTATCTCAGGGTGGCAGAGGGCAAGGAACAAAGCAGGTCAGGTGGTGCTAGATCAGCCCCACTGCCTCTCTGTTCCTCACCTAGAGAAAGATGTCCTAAAGCTAACAGTGCCAGTGCTTATGAGAGTGATGAAGTACCTCTGAACAGAACTTTGCCTGTTGCTCTTGACCCTGTAAGGTGGGACTGCCCTTGTCTCCGTTTGACAAATAAGGCAGCTGAGGTACAGAGTCGATGGCCTGCTCTAGGCCACACAGCTGAGACCCAGGACCTCCTGAATAAAATGATTCTGAGGCTCAGGTCTCCCACACGTGGGAACGTTTATCACTGCAGGAAAAACAGAACAGGAGCTGATCAGCATTCCTCTCAGGCCAGGCCTGCCACCTCCTGCTTGGGAGGCTAGGAGGGAAGGGAGGCTAGCCTAACTTCACCAGTTAGCATTTCCTGCAGGACACGAGCCTGAGGCCTGGCTCCAGCATATCCAGGCTTTTCAGGGGCTGTTTGGCTGGTCCCAGGGCCTCTTTACTGGATGTTTATAACCAAGGAGTCTCTGAGGTCCACAGACTTTTGGATTCTAGAGATGAGAGCACTTTCGTATGACATACCTCCTGATACTTTCTGTCCTGTTTCAGACTCAGTGTCAACCACATCACCGATACTGGGGTGAAAGTGCTGAGTGAAGAGCTGACCAAGTACAAGATTGTGACATTTTTGGGGTATGTCTTTCTCAAGAATACTGGGTAAAAGAGCTGGAGAGCCCTCAGCGTGGGCAGCTGACCACTATTTGAGCCAGTCACAAAATCCTATGTGGGGAAAGGTTTTGTTAAGATAACAATACTACCTATGCATTAGAATTTACCATGGTGGGAACCTCCATCTCTTTCCAGAATCCTCAGGCTAAGGTATGGACTTAGTGCCTGTGCTGATGGTGAGGCCTAGGACAGAACCTTAACCCCAAATACCTGTACACACACACATACACACTTTTAGGGCCTTGCATTCATCTTTGCTTACTCAAAACTGGATCTCTGTCACTTGAGCCACACCTCCATTTCCAGTTTCTTGGTGGTTAACTAGAGAAAATAGAGTCACAGACTTTCCTGTACTGGCTGGCTTTGAACCATGATCCTCAGATCTCAACCTCCTGAGTAGCTGTGAATATAGACTTGAACCACCAGTGCCCAGCCTCAAGTAATTTAATACTTCCATAAAAAAAGAGAGTCTGGGTACCAAGCTGCTCCTGGGTCTGGGAATCTGGCAGTTGCTCAGCACCTTTGGGCCCTAGATTCCTCCAGTGTTAGATGAGACCACTGAAGCAGAGGTCCCAAGCTCCCATCTGCTTCTCAGTCCTGGTTGACAGTGCAGCCCTGAAAACCTCAGCTTAGGTTGTTACTCATCCCTGAGAGGCACTGAGGTTGTCACTCTGTACTGCAGAGAGATATGGAAGCACAGGACAGGGCCATAGTCACAGGGCTACAGAGTCACAGAGCCCAGCTCCTGTTTCCAGGAGCCTCCTCTCAACTCAGACAATGAACATCATTAGGCAGAAAATCCCACTTAGAGAAAGGGGTTCACAGGACACCAGACTCATACAGTCTCCACTGTGTTTTCTCTCTAAGTTTGTACAACAACCAGATCACTGACATTGGCGCCAGGTACGTTGCACGAATCCTGAATGAATGCAGAAGCCTCACACACCTAAAGTAAGTAACTGAGGTCAGTGGCACAGGCTCCTTAGTAGCTGCTTTTCCTCTTCAACTCTCCATTTTAAAGAACAATGCTGAACAATTTTAAAGAACAGTTACAGGTGTCTCACACCTGTAATCTAAGTACTCAGGAGGCTCAGATCTGAGGATAAAGGTTTGAAGCCGACTGTGAAGGGAAGTCCATGAGGCTGTTATCTCCAGTTAACCACCAAGAAGTGGGAGTTGTGGTTCAAGTAGTAGAGCACCAGCCTTGAGTACAAAAGCTCAGAGACAGCACCCAACACACACACACACACACGAAAAGAAAAACACTGTACTGCCACAGCTAGAATCCTGGGGGTTCTGCTTTCCCTATACCATACTGGTCAGAGTAAGGAGACTTGTGTGGGAGGTGAGATTGTCTTGTGGAATATTTATTTGGCTGGGAGTTTGTAAGGACAGCCTGTTGGGAGAAGGGGGCAGAGTACTGGCTGTTTGAGTTCTTTACTGACCAGGAAGAAAGGCTATGACTAAGTCCCTTTGTGTAATGCCAGAAACAATGATCTTTCCCCCTCAAAGAAGCTTGATCCTGGGTCCTGCCAGACACACTCAGCCAAGAGTGGCAGAGAACCTGATCCTAGCCCAGAAATGGAAATATCCACAGTGACTATTGGTAATCAACACGGTCGTTTCTCTGCCTGCCAGTGAGAGAATGGCATTCCTGAGGTTTCTGAAGCCCAGAGAGGGCCCAGAGGCCAAACACCTGCAGAGGCTGGGTTGTCTGGGAGGAGCCTTGATAGTCTGTCTTCAGGGCACATGTCTCTCACTGAGGGCTGGTTGCCAGATCACATGGCAAGAGGGGCAGGTTGGGAGATTCTATGGTGAGGGGCAGCTGGCTGATTATAGGTTTCTACTCACCTCGGGGCTAAATGTACATGACTGTCTACCTCTCTACAGACTGGGCAAAAACAAAATAACAAGTGAAGGTGCAAAGTGCCTGGCCCAGGCTGTGAAGAACAGCACGTCGATCTTTGATATTGGGTGAGTAGAGGGTGATGCCCAGGTGGGGGCCCATGTCCTGGGAGTCTATAGCTGCTGTGCTTTGTACATCAATGTTATAAAAGGACCCTTGGGGTTGGGAAGAGGCAGCAAAGATGCCCCTGTGACTTCAGCATGGGCGCTGGTGGAAAGTCACAGGAAAATGTTGACTGCCACTGCACAGGCCTTAGGTCAGAGGGCAGTGTCTTCACCACTAGAAACTGGAGAGCGCCATCCAGGTTCTGGATGGTCCTGACTTCTGGCTGATAGTCTCCTTTTTAAGAAAATGGTATGGGGAGGGGGGACCAAGATGGCGACGGGGCAGTAGGGAAACGCCACAGCTCTCTCCAACCAAAAAGAGAGTTCG